ACATAAAGCCGATAGAGACACGCCTCAAAATAAACTTTCTCTATTTTGCACGAAACATTGAATAAATATATTCGATGGTGGGCCTTAAATCAGCAGTCGCTGGGTTTTAATGAGGAAAGGCTTTGAAATGGACTATCTATTTAATACGCTGAGTTCACCACTATTCAGGGCCATTTTTCGGACAAGTAACTACAGTTATACATTGACGCAAATCTAATCGTCCTTCTTCATTCGGAGCGTAGAAGAACCGAGATGCTCTACGCGTTAAGATGCACACCGTCGAAGAGAATTTTCATTTGAAAAGATAAAACGCACACAGAAACATTGGGCTGGTTCAAGTTTTCGGAACTGCTACGTTGAAATAAAAATATAGTAATATTTGTTAAAAATTTAGCTTCTGTACGATTCTAAAAATTTACTGAGAGCTTCAACTTACTATAAGCCTGGCAAATGTACTTACTTATAACTTAAGCAAAAGTTAACAAACTTATACAATTTTTAACCTAAATTCACTATTATTATTATTACTGTCATACATGTAGTGCATCTGTTTTCCATGCAATACACCCGCGCCAGCCGTACATCCCGAGAACTTTTTGCATCAACTGACAAAACAGATATATATATATAACAAGTATAACATTAGATTTATCCGTTAACGTTGGCTTACCCTCGTGGGTATTTAGTTAGCGGTCTCTCACAGAGTGCACGATTAGGAACCTAGGTAATATTCAGAAATGTATTTTATTTCCCGCGAGGTTCGGACTTGTGCAAAATGTTGTGGGCGGAAGTAGACGGAAAAGAAAGGTAATATCACACTGAATAAAAAAATATACGTCCACGGTCGTTGTTGAGAATGTTGTTGAGACTTTTTGTAGAAAAAAATAAGCACGAAATGGCAGCTTTTTTAGAGCAGAAACTGAACAAATCTGATTTTAATAACATAGGTCAGAACAGAAGGATAAAAGACGGCTGTGGGCCAGCTTGACCTGAAAACATCATTCTAGAACCAGGCTTAAAAATAGTCCAGTGTCCGCAGCTCAACATAGCCAGGTCAAAAAAAATCAATGCAAACAACATTGCCGAAAGCACAACTTCGACCCAGCAGAGAAAAATGAGTGTGCTAGAAAGTGGTACACATCATATAAATTTATATTATTAAAAAATCACTTGCAGAGATGAAATTGATTAAGTTACATTGTATATTTATTTTTAAGGTTAACTAAATTGCTATAGCCGTGTTATTATGAGTCATTAAGATACGTAACTCAAGATGTAGCAGACGAAGTGCCAAAGGCGACAACAAACTCCACCTTCGTTGTTTTTCATCTTGCAGACGTGGCAAAGAGCGAGACACCAAATATTGCAAGCTCTCTCAATTTAAACATAATTATAGACGACTTTAGTACTGAAATTAAAACTACTTGATATTATTCAACTAGTATCCAACACTTTGGAGCGAACCAGCGTTCCCACTCTGATCTCTTAGTGAATAAAGAATGGTTCTTCATTGCACTAAAGATACTTTTATTGACAGTTTTGTATAAAAATAGTTTAGCTGCCGCTGGTCGTCGTCCAAATTTTTGTTCTACTTTATTTGGTACGCTTTATCTTGCTGACGGTTTTTTTATAAATCGAGTGAAATTGAGTCTATTGTTATGTTGTCACCGTCATCTTCTCGAACGTTGCTGCATTTCCCAACAAGTCTGCCCATTCTGATTTAGCAGAAATGTTTAAGCTTGTTGCTGGGGCTATTCAATGAAGTGTCGAAATGCACTACTTTGTCAAGTGTAATGTTACCCATTTTATTTCCCAATCATTGGAAAATGTGGTATTTTCGCGTCGCTAGATCGGGAAAATCACGACAGGCACAAAATAACAAAACAAAAACGTTTTTTAGGCCGGTCTTCGACCTTTGTAAGGTCGCAGGGTTCCTCCACTACCTTAACTGTTATTGTTTGAGAGAAATGCTTACTAGTAATGAGAATGTATTTTAACTTTAGATTCAATATAGAGCACTTTCGTAGAGGTATATAAAAGTACAGTTTATAATAGAGGTTATATTGGAAATAAGAAACACGATTCTGTAGGCTTCTATGATATTCTGTAGGCTAGCTAGGTTTCTATGATAAGCGTATTGTTTACACACTTTGATTAAAACGTATAATTCTAAATACTGCAAAAAGGAAAGAAGGCAAAGGGATACCAACACGATTAATTAGTATTATAGTTCTCTTCAATATAGCCTATATTATAATTATTAATTAATAGTTTTGTTATCCTGTTGCCTGATTTCCTCATCTATCTCCTTTTTGCACTCTTTATAATTTTACGTTTATATAATATATATTATATATATATATAAAAATACGCTTATCATAGGAATCCACTTAGAGAATTCACAGAACCGTGTTTCCTTATAATACAGACAGAGTTTTTAAAAATTTTTTTATATATATCTGTCACGAATCACGTGTGTTGCTGGCCCAGCTGCGGCGGGCGTCATTGCACTGAAACTATCTAAAGAGGGGTGTTCGTGGGGAGGCAATTGGTTCATACAGGGAAACTGCGTATCTCAATAGAAATATTTGACAATTTTAGAAATCTCGCATTTCTTTAATAATCAGACCTAACCTAACTCATAATCCAAGTAAGGCCTTCACCAGGCAGAATGGGCTATTCCGAAAACTTACCTACGTTTACAAGTTAAATGTTCTAAGGATTCTAGCGCGTCCCTGTCTCCATTGGCCTGTGTCCAATAAGCTGGCTCACCGGTTCACCCCTTACCTTGATGGTGTATTAAAAAAATTTTCCGAAAGCAAACAGCGTTGTTATTGTACTGTAGGCTTTTCTACAGCTTCGAAGCTATTATAGATCTTGCAAATAGATCGAATTTAAGCATGAAGCTTGCTATACGATTTTGTGCACAGTTTAAAATGGCTCTGTATTGCAAGTGCCACTGTTGCAGAGTAGGGTTTTTCTTCAAACTGAGGCCCTCCTTCTTATTCATGTTATTTTTAAGATAATTAAATTTAACCATCATCTACATTAAAGTTTTTTTTTTTTTGCTGAAAATCTAGTGTTATTATATTAGATCGTGTGGAATTCTGCTATGAGTCATATCTAGTCGTGCCCGAGTGCAACGTGGGTAAGTTCGATTAAACAGGTCAGCATTTAGTAGCGTAGAAATAAAACCTGTTGAAAGCAGATAATTTAGTATCTGTTTAAAGAGAATATTAATAAGGTTCTATTTACTGTGGCAGAAATGCCCTTTTGTAGCACGCCAGTCGTCAACTTATACATTATACCCTTACTCTGTCACCTTAAGCTTGTAGCTAATACTGATACAAACGTCCGATACAAGAAGTAAATTTATAACTACCATACAAAAGAAAGTTTATGATTGCAGTAGAGAAAGAAACAAATATAAGTAGTTATTATTTTAGATTCGCTTCTGTTCGCTCAGCTATATTGTGCGCGAGGCTTTATGCCAAGCGCTAAGGACTTTTCGCGTGATTGCTCAGTAGACCGCTTTTTCAGCGTTGCTTTGAAATAGAATCGACTTCCTGTCAAAATTAGATATCTCATTTATAATCCATGATAATCTATTATATATTTTTCCTTAGGACAAAACCCAAAAAATGGCGTGACGTTTAATTATTCGGTTTTATAATTGTTTGTGTCTTTGATAGTAAAACAGAGCTGTTGTTTACTGACAACTGAATTTTTGTGACTACGTGTTATTTGCAAGCTTGAGTCTAGCCTCAATTTGACGCGCTACGTTATTTGTAGTTAAAATGGTAATCACATGAACGACTGAGGAAGATTCTTCAGTTGGGACTGATTGATTACTGAGACTTGGGTTCAAATACATGTCATACTGGACCATCTACGTTACTATAGACAAATACTCAAGTCCCACAATAACACCGCGGTAAATGGCTAGGTTTGAAGCTCTGTTTTCATAAGCAAGACTGACACATTAACTTCTCAAAGAGGAGCTAAACAACCTCAAAGAAAGAAGAGAAATAGAGGTTTAACAAGACCATGGCTCTTTGGGCGGTTTTTCCTGATACTGCATAATAACCATGTTTGCTATGAAGGTCCCTATGCCTTTTAAATGTTAGATGAGTTTTACTGTATTTGGTATAAATGTTATACATTTTTATAGATGCTGCTAGCTTTTAAGTTTGCGCTGATAGTTTGTAATATAGTTTTTAAAATTGACATTTCGATTCGCTTGTTTTGTCCACGCACTTCGTCGATCTAAATTAAACAGCTAAATTAAGCGAGCTTATGGCACTATATATTATAATGGCTTACGGAACTATTTAACTAAAAATATGTGACTATAGCGTGTTCAATGCTTTTTCTAGTATTCGAAATAATAAAATTAAAAAAATAAGCGAAAATTTACCTCATACGACCGTTGAGAAACAACCATTGTCAAATTTAGACCAATTATATCCTTGAATTTGATCTGTCTTTTTTAGACTTTTCTGGGTTATACTAAGCAGGGTTTCGAATAGCCTAAATAATGGCTTATAGAAGGTAGGGTTTTGCTTGATAAGTGGTGGAGGGGCTGTTACAAAGCGCATCTTTTTTTTTTCTTAATTAAACCGATCTGATCATATTAAAACTTGTGTATCTATCTTGTTTACTAATAGTTCAAATATAAAGAAAGATTAATCGTGAAACGTAATCATGATTATCTGGAACGTTTTGTACGATTTCTAAGCTCACAAATGCAACATGGCAATATTTCTATCAAAAGCGACCACATACAGTACGCAACAAAATGGTTGACCTATACTTAGAGGCCAGTTAGTCAGACACATTTTTTTCGTAAATCAGGTTTCTCGAAATTTAGTCCAAAACATTAGTATTTCGAATAGCATCAGACTTCCAGACTGCGTGCATCTCAAAATCTGATATCGTTCTAAGAGAAACGTCTGCTCTTGTTAGGACAACGAAATTGATACAATGGCAGCTATAAGCCGCTGTTATAGTGATACCGTGTGAGCCAATCTATGTTACAAAAAAAAAGTATGTCGAAGACAAATTGAGACGGTGCCCCCACTTCGTTACATTACAGAAAGGCCAATAACAACCTATCCAGAAGTATGTGATTGTATAAACACTACTTAAGAGAAAAATTGTCTTTGACAGTTTACCTAGAGCCCGCAGTTAGGCTTCCATCTGGAAATATCAAATTTTTCGTAAAAAGTAACTGCTCGACATAAGCGCCAAGACTATTCTCTGGAAATGGAATATTGTTGTCATCGAATTTAATTTGTTTAGAAAATCTGTGAAATGTTAAGGTGAATAAGAAAGTATGTTCTTCACAAAATTGATTTACCAAATAAAACTATTCGGACAGCCTACAAGTCAAAATAGCCTTTTTAGATAATTAATTACGACGTTAACGTGTCTGGCAAAGCTGGGGATTCAACACTATAGGAACTTACATTGAAATAGCAGAAAGATTAAAGGCTGCTTCTTTCATGACTGTGCCTGCTAACAAGCTCTTTGCGCCGCTGAAAGCATTTTTAAAGGGTATGTTAACACAGAGGCTGTATGATGTCATTGACAAATAACCTTTTTTTTTTTTTATATGTCCATATAATCTGCCGCGAGACACTGTTACTAGCTTATGAAGAAATCTTCTTTTGAACTTCTAAACACACTGCAACCAACGAAGCTATAAGATGAGTATTTCTTCATTTAGAAAAAGCTAGCGTATAAAGGTTTGGAAATAAAAATCTTTTTCAGCCCTCCTCCTGATGAATTTGCTTAGTAATAATACTCGATTGCAGGTCTTGCAGAATGCACTGTATTTTGTACAGTTTAAGTACTAACTAAAGTAACCAAATATCTGTCGGATCGCATCAAGCCGCGCGGGTGACCCACTATGGGACTCAGGTTATACAGAGTTTCGAAAATACGTAACTGGGCTTCCTTAGTCACCTGTCCTGATAAAATGTTTCGCTCTGTGCGCGTCCATAGCTCGGCTACTGATCACTAGCAAGCGTCTTTATAGTTTGTAGCAAACACCCAAGTTTCTCTAATTTGAAACACTCACCTTCAACCAGCCAAGAACTATAAGGACAATTATGGGAAAGCTGCAAATAGTTGATAAAATGTACAACTACAACTATATACCCCGCGGCGAGTCGAGATATACGACCAAGTTAGCCTGTTTTAATGTATATATATTAAGTAGGCTGTTACAAACAAGTTCAACGAAAATATTGAAGTTGATTTTTTTACTATTAACTTCAACAGTTAGGTTTTTTGATTTGCATTAGAGGTATCTTATTTTTGGTTCTTTTTTATACACTTGTCCCAGCACGCTGGCAGTTTCTGTAATAATATGTACCTACTATCCGCATTTCCGGGCGTAATTTTGTGATCTATGGCTTCTTGGAGTAAACGACAGTGGCATATGCTTGCCTACCAGTTGCGCTTTTTAAAGTATGAGAAGCCCCATAATGACATTGGCTTAGATCGGGAGAGTGAGTGGGTCGGAGCCAACGTTCGACGTTCTCTCATTCAGTCTAGGAGATAATTAAGGCCTGGGGATAAGGTCGGACGTTGTCGTCAAGTGGCCAAACTGTACGCTTTCGATTACCGTGCTAACCGTTCATGGGTCTCTTGAAAAGCCCAAAAAGGAAGGCATGCGTTGTTTCAACTATATTATACTAACAGGTGTCCCTGATGTCCACCGGAAGTACTACCATCAGCTTGGGCTCGAATTTATCCGATATTACCATCAAACTCGATGTCTCTCTCAAGGACAACACGACTCTCTCACCTTCGTTTCCGACGAGTGGAAGGGATTGACCCATGTATCATCTATGCGATCGCATACTTCAGGTAATTTTTTCCTATTCATAAGGCATAAGTGCCGCAAATCGTAAATGGAATTACACGATCCGCATTTCCGACCGGCCTGGAGTAAATTCACAGAAAACCTATTTTTACGCATTTCCAGTATTTGAGCTATAATTATGTAACATGACTTCTAAAAAAATAATTGAAATCATCTAGCAATACTAATAGGATTAGATCTTTATGTCTATTTAATAGTGAAAGTCTTCCCATGATTCAAAAAGGCAGGACGATAGATTTTATTCATGTGAACCTCGAAGGAGTGGATATCGTGATGTATAAGGTATATATATTACTAAGTAGCCAAGAGCGTTCACCTTTGAATGTACTAACAAGTAGTACCCTTTTACGAATCCACCGAAGTACATGTCTGATATTTGAAATTACAAAGAGCTGAATGAACAGATCGATCTGCGTCTACCGCTACGTATGCTTATTAAGGAAACCTATTCATAGTAGGGTGGAAAAAGCGCAGATATGCTTCCTTGATTGATGTTAGCACACGAACGGACTTCTTTTTGTCGGCGTCTAATGGTTTCTAGTGCTGCTTAACGGCGCATCAAGAGTATGATATCTCCAGATGATTCTGAGAGCACTCGTCCAATTCCAGAAAATAGGCTTACTCTAAGATAGATCTAGAAATAGAAGTTCCTTTTGCCGCAAAACATGTGTTTGTTTACACAGGAGCTGCTTCATAAAAACACCTTAATTCAAAAAGGTTTAGCACACAGAACAAATGATCGAAAAATATACATTCTTGAATGAAAATGTTTAATACTCACCTCTCCCTACTAAAAATCCGTGGCCTCGATAGTATCTGCGCTTTGGAAGACGGCCCTTCTATTTACCTTTGAACTAAATTCGAGCTACATATCCAAATAATTCAAAACGTAAAAAAACTAAACGACGTACTTCATTGAGAAAGAAACTGGGGCGACAAAGGCCGAACAAAAGACAACGATGCCTTATATAAACGCACGAAAACAGTATCGTTTCAACTCAATCGAATTTCGGCAGACCTATCTAGAATTATTGCCCTCGATAATTCCATTCATTTTCACGGATATTCGGCTTGATTTGACGGCCTGCAACAGCCTGCTGTACTGCATCTGTGGACGGCAAGGGTAGCAAAAGCGATGCTTACAATCTTACCTATCTAACTTATTGCGTCTCAGGTCGTTTTCTGTCCATTGTACTGTTTTATCGAAGACTTCTTTAACGCAAAGTGCCCGGCGCTGTCGTCGGACAAATGCTTGAATCCATCGGATAGTATTAGGTGGCCGCCATGGAGGAATTCTGACTGTTCACAGTGGTTTGTGCTTCTCCTGTAAAATCCCAACGGCCCAACGACGGCCGTTATCGCCACGCTACGACATAGAAAACAGGGAGCAGCCGTCAGTTGTGTAAATACTATACGGATACGCGCGGGTATTGGTTAACGTTATCAAATGGTTCAATAAGATAGTGGGTACAAAGGTACCTCTTTCAAAGGCGTCGTTTATCTAATGTCACATGAATAAATATCTCGATTAGGCTAAAATGACATAGTGAGCTAAAAGGAAAAAACTATTTCCATAAAATAAATTTCTGCTTGGAAAATTCGTGACATCCGTAGATCTAGAAAATTAGGTAGGAATTCACCGTTACGACGAGTGATGGGAAAACATTTGTTTTCTACATTATGACATGCTTTGCTGGTACTTCTTTCAGTGTTAATAGAAATCAATGAAACGTCATTTTACCAACCGGTAGCTCGCGCTAGACCTCTATGTTCCCGTGATAGCTTAGTAGATAACATATTCGCCTGCTAGTCTCTAAACCATGTTCATCCATAAAGTTCTAACCAGCTGTAATTTTTCCAGAACACAGAGACGTCTTCTTCATAGAGAGGCGTCTCTGATACCTATCAACGAGGTATATAGACAAAACCATAAAAAATTAAGTCATAATTTGCTGAATAGTCACATTGCCTTTGTTATCCCATACTTGCTGTCGGAAGCACCCTTTTACCTAACTAATAGAAGGAAACCAATGTTTGCAAAACGAATACAATTTCATTAGGCGCATCTTTGAAAACAGTACTATACATACACTCAGTTAAGTCAAAAACACGAATATAGATTCGAGTTCGGGCGTAGGCGCACTTGGTTTCGTGCAGGAAGCCAGCTATTGTTGGGACGTCAAACGGTGATGCCCGACGTAAAACTCAAAACATAACAGGTTAGACCTGATATAAGTGAGGTTTCTTCACCTATGTTTTATAATTACGGCTATCTTGGAGCAAACGTACGTTCGATCGCTGATCGAGCTCTACGAATTCACAACGAATTGGAATTTTTTTTTCTGTAGGCTTAATAAGGGTCCTAATTGACTTAAAAGCGTTTCCCGTGCATTCAGACACTTAAAAATCACCCTCGTAACACCTGGTCTACGTACCCTTAGTTTGCCAAGCATAAAAGTTACCAAATTTTTACGGATGCTTGAAAAATCGTGATCACACATAACTGAATCAAAGCTGGCGATCACCAAAAGCAAAGTGCATAACCCTATATGTAAAAACAAACCATTTGTATCTCGTGGTAGAAGTCAGCACGTGGCTATTTTCTGAGTGACATTTAAACTTATAATGTGCCTTCAAATTCACTTCTTGTACAATACCAAGCTCGAATGCCTCAATCTGGGTTTAGGTACTTTAATAAAAGCCGATCTGTTTCATACCCACCTTTAGCGTGTTGCCAGAGGCACATTGAACTCCAGTTAAAAATGCGTAGTGAAAACTATTACATGTCTATAAATGCCCTTTAGCGAGGGAGTTGGTGCTGAGAATCTCTAGCTTCGTGCAAAAAATGTTTAACATTCAGCATCTTCCAGATGCCACAGTCCACCCCGTATGTTATTAACCAACCCAATCAAGGAAGGTATCTGACTATAGGGTAAACGAAGTTCGATGCTACCATATGTTATCGAAGCGTTAAACGCACTTCCTGAGGCGAGCTAAGTCGTTGCACTTCATTTGACACTGATGACATCTGGTGGTTTCCATGAGTCTTTCTGTATCGTCTTCTGTAGTGATCAGAGAGCAGAACGGTGTAAACAGGGTACAATAGAAGATGGACTTGGAAGAAGATGGATTTGATGACCTCTTGTTGGTCCAAAAAAGAAGTGGTCCTACTCTTTGACGCGAAACCTACGCCAATGAGACAACAGGCTTAGTGACACGTAAGTGAGCGAAAACCGAGTTAAGTATCTCAAACGCTCAACTCTTTGTCGCCTTAAAAATCTTAAACAATTCGGTTCGTCATGGTCCTTGCTGTCAACTGAACGACGGTTAACCTCAGTTTTTCTTGCCGATTCTGCGATTTCAGAATCAAATCAGATATGAAACCAGATTTTGCTTACTGGTAGTGCAAAGCTCATCATTTATTTGTATTGCCTAAGTGTCCAATGTAGCTTACCAATGTTTTTTGTTTGTTATCTTTTAGAAGTATATTATATAATCGAGAAGATCGCTTTTGTACAGCCGTTTTAGAGCAGCTCTTTGGGACCTTAAACTAGAACTGGGTCCATGACCATTCGTCCTACATAAGTTAAATAGGAAGCTTAACTTTCTTGCTCTAGCATCTTTTGGATTTTAGCACTGGATATTGTTGCCGGATAAGATGGTAAATCATTATTTATTTTCCGTTCGCCATGGCGTTTATTATCGCTGTACGAACGTGAGAAATCACTATACTTAGACGAATCACCTGAATGTGCTTTTTAGCGGATATGAACGCATCCCAATGAAGGTAGACTGTTTTTTGCTTTGGTTTTAGCGTTCGTACTAAAAATAGGTGAAATAATGTACGATCCGAGCAGAATACGTCCAGTTTTAGCCATGGCTTTCGAAAATCTTCTAGATATAGTGTTAATTCTGCCTGATACGTAAATTGAAAGCATTACGTAACCGAAAAACAGCATACGAATATTGAGTGAAGAATATAAAGGAACCGATAAGTTATTCAGTAAATACGCTATATATAAATTATACTTGAGACATGTCAGGAAGTTGGATTGGGTACTGATATTAATTAGAAACGGGAAATCCCTACCTAATACAATTAAAAACTCGTAGAGTATAAAGCGCTACAGAATGTGAACCTTCTAAAATCAAAATCAATATTGCTCATTCATTAGTTTTGTTAGTTGGAAGATTTTTTCTCTATGAGACAGGCGCTTTGTTATAGAGATGTTATGAGGCACTTGCTTACAGTGAGCATAGGTTCATTATGGGTTCGTTACCACATTCGAAATTAAAGGCCAAGCGAGATTACTCTTTTAATTCGGTCATTGCCGATACGGGACAATAATCTATTTTCGATTCCTATCATTTATAAAAGAAAATTCATGTTATCGGCCTTGTTTTTAGATAATAATTCTATAACTATTGAGTTAAACAAGCGTGACGTTTATGGAAAAAAAAACGTCTCTATTTAGCGATAATTGTGAATTTTTCGTGCGACAAAAACATTCCTAAAGTAAGCATAAATACAAATTCATTCTACCTCCAAATTCAGTAGGGATTCGAATAAATTCGCCTAGGGAACACGCTGGAACTAGAACTGCAGCACTCATAAAGACCATGAAAATGGAAGAAAATAAGATGAAAGCAATCTTCCAGACAGATTATTACAGAAAGCTACCCTCGCATATCTGCTTGTGCTGACAAAAGTAGTTGCACGTCTGCCGAAAAAGCTCCTGGAGTTCGTCTTATATGTCTGTGCGAAAAGCAAGCCCCAGTCGTCTTAAAGAGGTACCGCCAGCATTATCTACCCAAAAACAGAACGATACTTAAGTTAAGCGGTTGCGATAATTAAACTGTGATTGCTATAGGTCGTCGAAAATGAATGATTTATTTGCTCAGGTGGCCGCTACCTGACGACATCGACCAGCCTTATTGGAGGTAGCAAGGCTATTCTCAAGTGCTAGGATACTGAAGAAACGTGTAAAAGTTTAACAGCTAAGTAAGTTCAATGAAACGACACTTTATTGAAGGAAAAGTGGTGCGGTGGCATGACCAGCGGCTGGTAACAATATATCTGTAATAGTTATTGAAGTTGCACTCAAAGGTTGGTCAAACTTGCGGAGTGAGACAAACCTTATTAATCAAGATATGCTCACACTCTTGAATTCAACTTCTCATAAATAACTTTTGTGCGGAAGCGGAAAAGTGTATCACCGTCCAGTCAGACATAGCATTGGTAAATGAAACATGTTCTGCCAAACGGCCTGTCACTCGTTTCGAACTTGGCAACTTGATTAATAATAGTAGAAATTAGAACATCACCGTTTATCGAGTGTACACGTCTTCTGAGTGGTTATGTGGGTGACAGAATTTCAAACCCCTAAATAATGTACAAAGGTTGAAACTTCCTGGGAGACATTAGTAACAGCGTAGAACCTTGCGACAGTGGAATTTTTACTTTTCAGTCACCCCGTAGAGTGTTTAATAACGCTTCCGGAATGAATGTTGCAGCAATTTAAAATACTATAAACATAAATATCAAGGTGAATCTAATAACATCTTCAGCAGACTACGTGGGCGGACTAGTTTCGAACGTCTACGTCCGTCGATCTTAAATCTGATTTTATCTAATTTTTAAACGCTGAATGCTTTCAGTGATGTCATCTACACCGATCACAGACGTCAAAAACTTCGTAGGCAAGTCGTATTTTCAATGCATTAAACAGACCGAACCAGGACACGAAAGTCGACTGCTGGCTGATAGTCATAAAAAGGTGCGAACATACCGCCCCGATTCGAATCACCCATGAGCGATTGGATAATTTCGAAAAGTCATTTAGCACTGCCCAACAAAATTAGAATTCATGCATGAGGTCCCATGAACTATACGTTATATATATATATATATAGAATATAGTCGCGTGGCCCCGTCAATCTGTTATGATCAACATGAAGAACTGATTAGCTAGCTAAGTACATTTTAGCAAAGAAAGCTACGACAAAATTTGGATTTAGCCAACGTTTAACCCCAAGAAATTTTGTGTGGTTTATGGTGAGGCTTGCGAAAGACTTTAGACAAATGTGGCGCTACAGTCCAATAGGCCGTAGCAATGGGAAAAGTATCGGACGGGTCGTCCATAAGCTGTCTCTATCTTGAAAATCCGAAAAGCGACAGAAGAAAGCAGCGTCAGCTAAAAGCATTTGTCTTCGACTTTGCTATTATTTTCTTAAATAGATATTATATATATTAGTTAGGATTTTCACGCCTGTCCCCTCGGTGGCGCACTTTTGAATATTCCAAGGACGTATAAAGTGAATCTCGCATATAAAGACGTGCGTTGATGCCGTCAATTGTTGTTAATTGCTCCGCTAAAAATGTATAACCGCTGTCAAGACGCGCAGAGTCCTATTTGGTGATCGAGCAGAGATTTTCGAGGCCGGTATTAAAAATTTGCTAACAATGTAAGAAGTCAGGCTTTGGTAGACAGGAACCGTGCGCGGAACTCATTTAGAATTTTACCGACTGCAGCTCGTACAGGAAAGGAAATCGATCGTACCAAGCTCTAGAGTTGTGTACTTTGAAGCTCGTTTCTGCGTGTGTGTTTTTAACTAAGCTTCAGTAGCGCCATTAGCAATGTGTGCGTTAGTTCTCGAACCGTCAACAATGGCTGCTGCGTCCACAAGACATGAGTCGGTACCTCGTGAAAAAACCTGACATGGCGGCTCGCTTTGCAGAATCATTGAAAGAACTGTAACTACACGGAAATAGTAATGCAGGGTATTGGCCTGTGGGAGAACATGTAAAGGCAAGCAAATTTAAGATCTGCGGTTGTTAATAGCTAGTTAATTTTAATAATGTAGAACTTTAGTAAAATGAAGCAAGTATTAAACGACTAAAGTTCGGTTCCGCAAAAGGAAAGATTACCAGTTATTCATTGCAAAGCTGGTGGTGGGCCGTTGGACGCACAAAACGCATGTACATAATTTGTCTCACTCTGTTCAATATCCAAAAGCAGCCATGCGAAGCTATGCTCTAAACTCAGTAAGAATGTTCAGTATCTTCTGTTTCTAGGTGGTTTGATAGGATACTGCTAAGTGCAGCAACTGCTGAATCCTTTAGATCAGCATTTGAGATCAGCATTCCGAGATCTGCATTTGAAACGTGTAGTTAAAGTCTTAAAGATTACCATTGAACCTAGCTGGCCTAAATATAGGACCAAATGTCAGTAATACTTATCCAATGACTAATTTTCCCGATATGCAGTTTCTTGTGCATTGTTTTATGCAGAATTTCAAATCAATTTACGTAATTCGTATTTTCCAGGTACCGTGACAGTTAGGGGAACTGTTTGGCATGGCAGAAAAAAATAGAGCGCACTATCCCTGAAATTGCAGAAGGCAATACAATTTTACGCTCCAACTACGCGATTTTACTGTTTCATACTCGTAGAGCTATAAAAGTACGAACGGAGCAGTTTGCCTAACCCAGTTGTATGTATTACGCTCGAAGACGGGACGGGACGCATAGCTGCAATTAGAGATGGAGTTTTTGCTGTTGGTGGGCAGTTATGGCGGTCCCAGTCACTTTCACGTAATGGGTCTAGAATTATCGTCTTTATTCACGGTTATCTGGACTAGCGATGGCTGAGAAAAGGTATTAGAATCGAGTCATATATTTACGAAGGATTGCTTTTACGCTTATACTTTGTTTGTCCATACTGAGAACGATGTAGATTTGTTTAATAATGCATCTGTACGTATGTAGCAACGGTATACGTATCTCCATATTCGCTGAAGTACGTAAAGAGCTCCAATATCCTTTGAGGACCTGATTTCGTTTAAACATGAAAGAAAAAGAGAACATATTAAATTCGGTTTGGGTTTATTACAGTTTTATGCTGTTCTGATTTGTACGTTAAACACAACGTCGGCCTAATGGTCTCCCAAACTTTTATAAAAGCAGGCGCGTGTATAAAATCTCGAATTTTAGAGTAGTACGCCATCTTCGATCGACTTGATGACCGTATAAATATTAATTTTTAGTTTCTAGTCTACCGTTAGTTTGTTTGGGTAAATCTTCTGTTTTACATACCCGAACGGAAAAAGCGGAGGCGGTTGGATCCCCGGAATGTGGCAGGTTTTAGCATTTTTCGAAGTCAGCCGATTCAATGAAATGGATGAGAAGTGCAGGGGGATGATTCATGGCTCGTTGGAGATCATTAAAGCGTTGGCCATTTTCTGAAGCTACAATGTGGAACACACGAATGTAAAAACGCAGCTGTTATTTGGGTTATGCTTCGACAAAGCGAGCTATTCGGCCATCACAAACTACGATTATAAGAATAAATGTCGATAACTCGTATGCACGAACGAACATAAAGTGTTCCGTTTAACAAGGAAAACACATTCGAAGCAGGAACGTCGTTATCCGGTGCACGGTAATGGAGAGAACAATTTTGAGATAGCCTCTATCGTACAGTGACGATCAACAGTTAAATCTTTTATATTTAATAAAAAAAACATTTTTTTATCATGTTAATGTTGGTTTTACCTCATCAACTGCACTGTTTAATTGACCCTTGTTCAATTCAAAAACCTAACCTTATGTATTGAGGTCTTGAGATATTTGTAGTTCGCTTTTTGAACCGCACCTACCTCAAACTAATTTTCTACGGGATATCCACTTCAGTACAATTTGGCTTCAAGGTTTCACCATCAATCGTTCTACCTCAAACCTTTCCGACCATGCTTTTTGGAATTGTTGCGTTTGTAGACTACTCTCTTCTGTTTTTTTTCAGTTGCCAGGAGAAATCCAATTTAGCGGATGAGTGGTCTCGTTCGTTTCCCGAACACTGAGACCACGTGGGTTCAGCTTTTTCCCAGGCGACAACCCGTTTTCTTCCTTTCTCTGCCCCTGATGGCCTTCCCGATTATCATCCTGATTCTCTATGATCATCTCGACAGATAGAGTGGCCTCTTTCGTTAGTACCTTCTCGTTTCCACCCTTGACGCCTACCGGTGGGACCTTTTTGCTGCCTTCACCCTACCAGCTCTCTAGCTCGGCATGACACTGTCGCAGGCCCATTCGTTCCAGCAGTAATGTTCGGTGACTATAGCTTGGTTTATGTCTCGCCTTTTGCCTTTCGAAGTCTCCGTTGTAATTAAGACATCCGCTCCTTAAGTGATGTCCCTTACGTTCTGCTTACTCATCTGCCGGCACGTATATATAAATACCTATTTCTGAAGAAGCGCTGTCCGACTTACATTTTACGGAACATTAATAAAGAAAAAACAACGTTGCATTGATGGGCATTGAGATAGTAGCTCTCCCTTATAAAAACAATGAAGACGTTCTCACTAAAGACTGTACTGTTTGTTGAATCTGGTGGGAACCTGTGGGTCAGTCCATCATAGGGGCTCTCCAACACTATTTACTCTACGACGACTCTTTATTTGGAAGGTATGCGAAGCGATAAAGATCAGATGTGAGACGCATTTATAACGTCAAGCAACGTAGCGAGGTAGCAGAAATAAGTAAGATATGTCATTCTTAATAAGTTATTCAGGAAATACGAAGGACGTCGCCGTTTTCTCAATGATCCTGTGTGACGAAAAGCGTCAGCTGTAATCTCAAATATTTGTACGCCCAACATATGTATTATTTCCTGCCTACGCCAAGTTGTACATATATTTAGATACATGTTTTCTTCGTTGAAAAGCCTTTTTGATAAACCCTCAGTTCAGTCATTCTGTAGAAATATGAAGACATTACACTTCAGTTTTTGCAGAGTGCAGATCTTAAGTATTGTAATAAATAAAAACTGCATTTCACAGAATAAATAATTACAGACATTGTATTTCGCATATATAACGCCGTTCAAAGAGAACGTTGACAACAGAGGCTAGCAAGTAGAATGCGTCAGGTAGCGACTGATGTTGTGAATAGAAATAGCTTCCTTCTCTATTGCACATCTCGCCAGATTTTTACCACCCTAAATCTTTCGTAAGGAGAGTGTGGTCTAGTAAACAGACTTTGTCGTCCACTAAGAGTAGGTACAAGGACAAAGTTTCTGTGATAGCTTAGTGGGTGACGTGTTCGCCTGCTAATCCTGAGACACGTTGTGGCCTAGGTTTGAACCCGGACAATCAGCCTTCTGATAAAATGCCCAACGGCGATACCGCACGTAAAACTCGAAACAACGTATATATGCACGCTGCATGTACACAGAAGGTTAGACTTCCTATGCGTTCCCGATTCATGCAATTGATAACTAATTGTAAAAATTTTACGCTTTTTATACAGCTGATAATTAAGCTAAAGATAGAAGAACACACTCACAGTTATCATTGTTGTACGCATCTTTTGTTGCTCTTAAGAGTCTAAATTTTTATTTTACTTTTTCGGGACAGCTGATGTTAAAAGATCCAGTAACTGACACACATTGTATATATATGAATGTGGGTATTTTTAAAGCTGAAGTAACTGGAACTGCTAGGATACTACTGGATAAGAGTATGAAAATCCTGATCAACGAGACGGCTGAATAGGTGTACACAGTTTGGCCCATGGACACACTTGAACCTTTTTGGACGCGACGGAAAACAGCCCGATTGCATATCTCATTTTTTAAATTGAAATAGCTTTTGTATTACGAAATTTGTGTCTGGTATCGCCATTAGGTGTTCCATCTGACAGACAGACAGGCTGGCCCTTAGCACGAAATAGATGTCCCTGAGACAAGCAATCAAATATGTCGTTACCCATTAACCTATCACGGAGACAATATAGTTTAGCCCAAATACATACAATGCAGTTACGACTCAGCGATACAGACTGTTGACCCGCTCATCAAATGCCTATCATATACGGAACGGATCCTATCTTCAAAGCGCCAGATGGAGCTAAGACGCGGTTGAAGATTCGGAACGCCGGTTGAGAAGAATAGACATGCTTCGTTTCCAGTTTGTTATGTAGAAGCATAATTCGATTGAGTTATTCGAATATGACACATTCCTCCAAAGATGGAGGAAGCTCTTGCAATCTAGATGATCTAGCTCTGGCGTCTTTCCAGTATCCAAAACAAAGCACGAATTTTCTATGCGGGCCTTCGACAAGCTAATTTTTTTCCTACGATATTTTATTACCAATAAACCTGTCCAGTAAACCAAAACTATTTGAATATGCCGCCGATAGGAAAAATGCTTAAGCGTTATTGCCGCGGGGTTGCTTATTGATACCACCATCTTTGAAAGGGCTATGTGGTTTGTATGTCTCCATATTTATGCAAGTCTTTGATAGAGTTGATTGTACGGCATTATGAACATTGAAGCCCTGAAGTATTTGACACATATTTCATTTTGCAAAAGCAAAAAATTATGTTCTACTCAATATCGTTGATCTTAGGCAGAGTATCAATGACATGTTTGTGTTTAGCATGAGCTGTAAACTTCACCGCAGTCTACTCGAAATGTGATGCCCTATATATTACTTGTGTCGAATAAAGTGACATCTTTGACATAATCAATGTATCGATACTATGATAAATTGTGCTATTTCTTTTGAGTCATAGGTGTTTCCCTTAAAATTTTCCGAAGCGTTTTCCATTATTTTCCTGTGACGTGTCCTACTGACAATCGGAAGCCCTGCAGTCTATCAAAAAAAACCAAATAGAGATTAAGGCTCCAGAGCTACATTTTACAATGGGTAACTTCGTGGGGTGACTGAGGACGGAAACTGTTTAGTACACAAAAGCCAACGGCGTGTCAACTCGACGCAGATTCGCTATGCATTCATAGTAGGTGCTAGCAGTAACAGTAGGGAGGACAACAGTTTTGTGCAAAGAGAACTCCGGAAAAGGACCCAGCCTCATAACCTGAAACGAAGAACCGCCTTTATAACCGCATACCAGCTTCGTGTGTACTTTTAAATAGGCGTCTGACATTAGTGCATATGTAGAAACGACCCAGACTTCTCGTAGACTTTATGTAATTTTCAATTGTTCCATAATTACTTCACTTTATACATTTGCTTACACGATTCGTCGTAAATGCTGACGACGATACTCAAGCTAGCTAATGCAGTCAAGTCACACACGCGCCCATTGAATTTTCTATTATAGCTCTCCACAATAAACCCTATTTGGTATAATAGTTAGATTTCGAATTCAGTATTATATTGGTTCCTTTATATAAAAATTATTGCTTACTTTTACCTGTTTATATGGGCAAATACACATGAATGAGTGTGTAGGGCTGAGCATATACTATATCTACAATGTAAATCTCCGAGTGCACTACTGTAGCTTATAATAGTTATATTTACATATATAATGAGATATTTTGAATAATCTGGTCTCAATTATCAAGCTCTTCCTTCTAGATTATATATACCTCACTAGGGATTTTATCCCTCGAAATAATAATTAACTCACTTTATACCCAACGTCGCAGACTTAGAAGAAATTTCATGCATACACGATTGAAATATAATTGGCTGACCGGATAATTAGCCCGTCAACGGATAGCACAGCGACACCAAGACGGATGTAGGTAGCTTGCTCATGATGGGCTCACACCTAATAGATAGTCCTCGCATCGCCGACGGAGCCGATATCCCGTCTGTGAAATATAACGTAGTCGACAACCTTTGTGTTCATGATAAGCAGCTTCCTTGGGCTGGTTTTGCGGCTCTGGGTCGGAGTATCCAGTTGATGTACCAGCCACTCACTGAATAAGAGAGTCTGTAAACGATGCAATTGTTCGTGAAACACACTAGTTGGCTTACTTTCTGCAAAAAACCTAAGCAGGTTACATGAAATTATGTATTTTATACCTTCCTGTTGGGATACACATACAATATTCACCTCTTAATATCAATTTCTCTTGGATATTTCATAAGGTCACACAGAATAGCGAAGTAAAAGTTAGTTTTTGTTGGAAAAATATTTTCTTATCGTTTTAAATTTTTGCTTGCGTAGCGTTCAATTAAATGCTAAAATTATTGGTTTCTATGATTAGTCGAAATTTTATTTGGAGGAGGGATTAATTGTTTGACCATATTTACGTTCTAGTCGAATAATATGTGACGGATTCGAGATCCTTCTTAGCGAGGGGCAGGCAGGCAGGCAGGCTGCAGGTGATATCAACGGTCGATCGACCTCAACCACAGGGTGAGCATTGATCACCCGTTTCTTTCTGATAGCCTAACGCAATAGTGGAAGCAACCTAAGAGACATCGCCGCTAGTGGACCGTTACTCAAATTCACTGTACCTAACCATACCTTGACAAATTGAGGGGTGTGCTTGCTTATCACAAAAATTCTACTTTAGCCCATCTATCTATTTATTGACACAGCCAATGCAAGCTCTACGGGCCTCTTTCAAACAAACCCTAACAAATACTTAATTCCACGGAAACTGTAAATTAGAACGCTAAATTAATTA